CCCCCCGCACCCTCACCTTCACCCGCAGCATCTCCTCGGGGATATTGACCATGGCGTGGGTGAGCCAGCTCTCCAGGCTCTTGGCAAAGTTCCGGATCGCTTGGGTCAAGGCACCTGTGGGCGGTGGCGGGGGCTGGTCAGAGCAGGAAGGGGGTATGTGGGGCAGGGGGTGCCGAGCAGGCCAAGCACTCACTGGGGATGGGCCGCAGCACGTCGGGGATGAGGATTTCCACCAGGCCCTGGTACAGCACGTTGTCACAGTGCTTGGTCCATTGGAGCACGGGCTCGAACTTGGAGAGCAGCACCAGGATGGCTTTGGGCAGTCGCTTCTCGGCCTCATCATGCCTGCGGGCACCCACCCCACCCCGGGTCACTGGGGCACTCTATGGTCCTGCCCCCATTGTCAGAAGGGAACAGGTACCCCCTTACCCCCACTTCAGGATCACTGGGGCACTCTGTGGTCTTACTTCCAGTGCCAGAAGACACAGGTACCCCCTTACTCCCACCCAGGGTCACTGGGGCACTCTGTGGCCCTGCCCCCAGCATCAGACCCCCACCCCCAGCCCAAGGTCAGGTAAGTACCCCCTGCCTCCCGAGGATCCCCGGGGTCCGGCTGGCACAGGCCCGGGGGGTGGGACGGGATCCTACATCCTACCCTGCATACAGGGGGCAAACAAATTCCAGAACCTGCCACTCCAGGGAGGCGATGGTGCCCTGCCCCATGCCTGGGCTTGGTCAGGCATGCCAGCCCCGACTCTGAGTGTCAGGTGGCTATAAACACACACACCACACAGCCAAGGGCATGTGTACCCCATAAACTGCAGGGGACAAGCAGGCGCCCCAACCCTGGGTGTCAAAATCACCTGAGGTCCCACCCTCCTCCCCCCTTGCCGGGCAGTACTCACACGGCCAGCGGCGGCGCCTCGCTGGGCTGGCTGAGGTTGTACCTCCAGAACGTCTTCCACAGCGTCTCCACCAGGGTGAACTGCAGGTTCACCATGACGTCGACAATGGCCTGTGGCAGAGGCAGATGCTCAGGGAGGCTGGGGGGCAGCATGACCCTCCCATGCCCATGGCTGCGTCCCCATTCGCTTGCCTGCCCACCTGGCTGCCCTACCTCACAGTGTTCCCGGTACAGGACCTGGAAGGCTTTGATGTCACCGGGCCCGACGCCCTCAGGCAGCACCTTGCCCTGGAGGTCGAGCTCTGTGAAGTCAGGGAGGCTCCGAGAGGCATCTGCGGGGCCGGGGGGAACCATGAGGCCCTTCATCCCCCATGCCTGCCCACCCTGGGGTCCCAGAGTTGTCCCTTTCCCATCAGAATGGGGTCCCCCAAGTGCTGGTGAGAGACAAGGCTCGGTGGGGGCGAGCGCCTGGCCTGGGCCCAGGATGGGGAGGACTTGAGGGCCCACACTCCTCTGGCAAAAAGGACAGGAGGGTCTTGTGCCAGCCCCGCCTGTCTGCTGAGTGGTAGCACCGCACCAGCCCTCAGGACGTGGGCCTCTGAGTCCCGGCTGCAACGCAGCACCCACCTGGCAAGGGAATGGGTAGGCCCCCAGGGCACAGTCAGGACCACAGGACGCTGCCCTGAGCCTGAGCACCCCAGGTTGGGGCTAGCCATGGACAGTCGCCCTGGGGATGCCCCTCGACTCTGCCAGAAGTATTGTTCCCCACCCTCCTCTATGTCCCCAGGCACGGACGGGACAAATGGGATGTCCTGGCCTCCACAGCAGGTGAGGAAATGAGCGCCCACATGCTCAGGATCGAGGATGTGTGGCTGGACTATGGGTTCCAAGGGTTTGCTTGTTTACTTAGCATCCTTTGGCCCTGTTTTCATGGATTGTTGTTTACTTTGTTTTTTTGTTTTTTTTTTTTTTTTTAAGAGATGGGGTCCTGCTATGTTGCCCAGGCTGGTCTCCAACTCCTGGACTCAAGCAGTTCCTCCCACCTCGGTCTCCCAAATTACTGGGGTTATATACGTGAGCCACCGCATCCGGCCTGTTTTATTTTCCTGAGACAGAGTCTCACTCACTCTGTTGCCCAGGCTGGAGTACAATGGTGCAATCTTGGCTCATTGCAACCTCTGCCTCCCAGGTTCAAGCAATTCTGCTTCAGCCTCCTGAGTAGTTGGGATTACAGGCACCTGCTACCACACCGGGCTAATTTTGGTATTTTTAGTAGAGATGGGGATTCACCATGTTGACTAGGCTGGTCTTGAACTCTTGACCTCAAGCATTTCCTCTAGCCTCAGCCTCCCAAAGTGCTGGGATTACAGACATGAACCACTGCACCTGGCCTTTTTTTTTAAAAGTTTACTTTTAGAAACACTGGGTACATGCCTGCCTTCTTGGCGAGTGAGTGGTCCTAGCCCTGTGGACACCATGGCTGTGGGATGGCTGGACAGGAAAGCGAGTGGGCCTCACAGGACTCACGAGGTAAGAGGACCTGCCGTCATATCTCCAACAAGTAACCGTGTCCAACTGGGTGGGATCTGAAATCTCATATAGGCCGGGCATGGTGGCTCACACCTGTAATGCCAGAACTTTGGGAGGCCAAGGCGGGAGGATCACTTCAGGTCAGGAGTTCAAGACCAGCCTGGCCAATAAGGTGAAACCCCATCTCTACTAAAAATACTAAAATTAGCCAGGCATGGTGGCTCATGCCTGTAGTTCCAGCGACTCAGGAGGCTGAGGCAGGAGAATCACTTGAACCCAGAAGGCGGAGGTGGCAGTGAGCCAGGATGGTGTCACTGCACTCCAGCCTGGGCGACAGAGAATCTGTCTCAAAAAAATCAATAAACAAACACAAAAATAAAGAAAACCTCATGTAGCATAAAGGGGATTCACTGGGGAGCTCAGAACCCCAGAGAAATACTTTGCATTGAAAGAAATGAGAGTCGCCGGGCGCGGTGGCTCAAGCCTGTAATCCCAGCACTTTGGGAGGCCGAGACGGGTGGATCACGACGTCAGGAGATCCAGACCATCCTGGCTAACACAGTGAAACCCCGTCTCTACTAAAAAATACAAAAAAACTAGCCAGGCGAGGTGGCGGGCGCCTGTAGTCCCAGCTACTTGGGAGGCTGAGGCAGGAGAACAGCGTGAACCCGGGAGGCGGAGCTTGCAGTGAGCTGAGATCGCGCCACTGTACTTCAGCCTGAGCGACAGAGTGAGACTCCGTCTCAAAAAAAAAAAAAAAAAAAAAAAAAAAAAAGAGAATCTACCTTGAAGGAGGATTCTGGGGACAGAACTGTCACTGTGGACGGAGACTGTGATGTCTCCCCAACCCCCTGCTGGTCCTCAAGCATCTCCACCAAGCCCTCCCCGGCTCAGAGGCTGCCTGCCGCCATTCGGCTTTGGGAACCATCTGTATGGGGCCGGGGGGCGGTGGCTGGGGAAGCACAGGCCAGGGAGCTCTCACCCAGAAACTGCTGGTACTGCTGCACCTGGGCGCTGATGTCCGACAGCCCTGTGCTCGGCTGCTGCCCCACCGCCACGCCGTTGGTCATGCCTTCCATCTTCTGGATGGGCTTGAGCCTGGAGTAGAATGGGCAAGCGGGCTGGCTGCTGGGGGCCGGCCTGTATGCCCTTCCCGGCCTGCCCTGCCCCGGGCCCAGTCCTGCTCTCCTACCTCTGCTTCTGCGAGAAGGGCTGGCCCCGCATGGCCATATGCTGCTGGTCCTCCATCAGTCGCAACAGGGGTGAGCTGGCCTTGATGCGCAGGCCGTAGTAGTGGTACTTGGAGTTGCCCCTGGGAGGGAGGTGGAGGGGAAGGGCTGGGCTGGGGGTCTGCCGGCTGGCCGGCCATGGAGCGCCTCACAGCACACCCATCTCCTCTCTATTAGGGGAACAGATGGAGAGACGCCTGCCCTGCAGAGCCGGGGGTGCTGTACTGAGGAGGCACAGGGGCTGGGGGTGTTGGGAGAGATCCAGTACTTTGCCCAAGATTAGACATAAATGAATGGCTGAATGGCTGAATGGCTGAATGAGATGATGCTGAAGCTGGGAACGGGAACCGAGACGTGAGCGGGGGTGAGCCACGGGGGTTGCAAAGGAGAGGAAGAGAGGGATGGGTTCCTGGGATGGCTTCTTGTTCCTTCCCACATGAATTCACTGACTCACAGGCCCTGATGAAGCACTGACTAGGTGCAACCCCGCATCATCAAGGTACAAGCATTGCAGACGGACCAGAACAACTGAAATAAGTCATGTAAAAGGCACGTGTGGGCTGGGCATGGTGGCTCATGCCTATAATCCTAGCACTTTGGGAGGCCAAGATCACGTGAGGGCAGGAGTTCAAGACCAGCCTGGCCAACATAGCAAAACTCTGTCTCTACTAAAAATATGTTTTAAAAATTAGCTGGGCATGGTGGTGCATGCTTGTAATCCCAAGCTACTCAAGAGGCTGAGGCATGAGAATGGCTTGAACCTGTGAGGTGGAGGTTGCAGTGAGTCGAGATTGAGCCACTGCACTCCAGCCTGGGCCACAGAGTGAGACTCTGTCTCCAAAAAAAAAAAAAAAAAAAAAAAAAAGGCACGTGTGAAGGTGCTCAATGCTAAAGAGAAAAATAAAGCAGGGTTTGGGGTGTCGGGCGGGGGAGAGGGAGGAGGCTGCAGTTTTAGTTGAGGCAGTCAGGGGACGTGTGAGTAAGGAGGGGTGAGAAACACATGAGGTGGAAGGCACCGCCAGTGCAAAGGCCTGGGGTGGGAGTGAGCCTCATGGAGGCCGGCGGGGGCTGGGCTGGACTGGACTGCCCGAGATGACTTGGAGTTGGGGGTGGGCCTTGGCGTGCCCGCCAATTCCCCAGGGGCTGCTGGGAGTAGATGGACGGCCCTACCTGGTGCCCAGACGGCGGGTTCGCAGGCCCATGAAGACAGAGCGGATGAGCTTGCCGAAGGAGGCGGCGTTGACGGGCTCCAGCTTCTGCTCCTGGCAGTGCAGCAGGTAGTGGCAGTAGAGGGTACTCCGTGGCAGACTCACGCCCTCAGCTGTCTCATAGTTGTCCAGGAGCCACTGGACCTGGGGCCGGAGGCAGATGGGAGAGCACCAGTCAGAGGCGTTTCCGTCACCTCTGAGTGCTGTGGCTGAGTGCCCATATCGACTTCCAGCTGGGATCCTGACAGCCACGCCCACCATAAGTTAGCACATCCTACGGCCATCCTTCCCAGGAACTACGTCCCACAGAACTCTCTAGAACTGCACTGTCCAATACAGTTGTCGTGTACAGCTAAATACATTAAGGGCTGGACACGGCTCACCCCTTTAGTTCTAGCACTTTAGGGGGCTAAGGTGGGAGGATCACTTGAGCCCAGCCTGGGCAACATAGGGAGACCCTGTCTCTACCAATGAATTTTTTTTAAAATTAGCTAGTGGTGGCCGGGCGCGGTGGCTCAAGCCTGTAATCCCAGCACTTTGGGAGGCCGAGACGGGTGGATCGCGAGGTCAGGAGATCGAGACCATCCTGGCTAACA